ATAAGAGATATAACATGTACTAACAATTTCAAACAAATATATGAAAGAAGGCTAAGAATTTAAACTGGTCAATTTCCACACATAAACTCGAGTACGCACTCGTCACCTCGCGTACATGGCTTTCACATTACACAAATAACACAAACAACTCAAATCTTAAAGGGTAGTTCCCACACAAAGTTAGGCAAAATACTTACCTCAAAGAAGCCAAATCAATACTCTAAAATGACTTTCTCGTATGAAACAAACCCCTGGACGACTCAAATCTAGCCAAAATAACTCAATGTCATAAATAAAAACTATAGGAAATAATTCCGGATAATAAAATTTCGATCTTTAATGAAGACTAAAAAGTCAACCCCGGGCCCGCACCTCAGAACCCGACAAAACTCACAAAGTCCGAACACTCATTCCGATACGAGTTCAACCATACCAAAATTATCTAATTCCGACATCAAATCGTCCTTCAAATCATCATTTTACATTTTAGAAATTTTTTACAAAAATCCTCAATAACAACAACAACAACCCAGTATAATCCCACTAGTGGGGTCTGGGGAGGGTAGTGTGTACGCAAACCTTACCCCTACCCTGGGTAGAGAGGCTGTTTCTGATAGACCCTTGGCTCCCTCATTCCAAGAACTCCCCACCTTGCTCTTGGGGTGACTCGAACTCACAACCTATTGGTTGGAAGTGGAGGGTGCTCACCACTAGAGCAACCCACTCTTGTCCTCAATTTCTCCAATTCAAATCACTAATTTAATGATAAAAACAAAGATGGAATAATGAAATATAATCAAATCCGGGTGAAGAACACTTACCTCAATCCAACACGTGAAAATCCCCTCCAAAATCGCCCAAAACCGAGCTCTCTAACTCAAAAAGTGATAAAAATATCATAACCATCGAAATAGAGCACTTATATTCTACCCAGTGAATTCTACATCGCGATCGCGTAACTTCCCTCACGATTGCGAAGAACAAAAACTTCAGCTGCCAAATCGTGCTTCGCGAACGCGTAAGTACAGTCGCGAACGCGACTCTCAACCCCCAGCAAACATCGCGGACGCGTTCTCAACCTCGCGAACGAGGACTACAATTCCTGATGACCCCTTCCAGTTCCTTATACGCGATCGCGTATCGTAGATCGCGAACGCGAAGACTTAAGTCCCCCAAGCTTCGCGACCGCGAAGAACAAAAATGCCAGCTTCCACAGAACTCTACGCGAACGTGATTGCTTCATCGCGATAGCGATGAAGAACACCAAGTAATATCAATCAGCAGTCCAAATACATGGAAAAATGGCCCGTGGCCCATCCGAAACACACCTGAGGCCCCCCGGGACCCCGTCCGAACATATCAACAAGTTCCAAAACACAATACGAGCAAGCTCGAAGCATCAAATCACATCAAACAACACCAAAACCATATATCGCACATCGATTCAAGCGTAATGAACTAATGAACTTTCAACTTCTACAACTCGCGCCGAATCATATCAAATCAACCTGGAATTACCTCAAATTTTGCATGCAAGTCCCAAATGATACAACGGAGCTATTCCAACTCCCGGAATCGCAATCCAAACCCGATATCAATAAAGTCAACTCCCGTTCAAACCTTCCAAACCTTCAACTTTCCAACTTTCGCCAAAATGCATCAAATCAACCTACGGACCTCCAAATTCAAATCTGGACATTAGCCTAAGTTCAAAATCACCATACGAAACTATTGGAATCAGCAAAACACCATTCCGGAGTCGTCTACACAAAAGTCAAACTCCGGTCAACTCTTACCGCTTAAGCTTCTAAAACAAGAATCATTCCTCCAAATCAATTCCGAATCATCCGAAAACCGAACCCGGCCACACACGCAAGTCATAATACACAATACGAAGCTGCTCGAGACATTAGGCCACCGAACGGGACGCAAATTCTCAAAACGGGTCGTTACACCTACCTATGAAGTTTGTCAACTCCTTATACAATACGGTTCTCTCTTTGCAAATAAAGTGCAAGTGAATTTTCATGCTTTCGACATCATTCTCACTATCATCTATTGCTTCTATTCCATTAGCACCAAAAGAGACATAGTGGTGACATTTCAAGGCTGCCTTCTTACTGCTACTCTGTATGCTCCAACTCATGGCTGCTTCCTCTATTGTTCGTAATAATACTCACTATATGTTAAAAGACGAGAATACAGAGGACCAATCCGCTATATGTTAAAAGACGAGAATACGGGGGTTCTCTGTCGTGAAGCCAACCTGAATGCAAATTAGTATTCTCTCCGGATTCATCATGCAACACCAACTCACAAATGTCTTTCTTCTCTTTCTCAAATTGTGCACCATCTGGAAGGCATCCCGCACTGGAGACCAAGCAAAGAAAGCAACTCTTTTTTTTTTGTTTTTGGAGTCTAGGATAGGACTTTGACTTCTTTCATAGTCTAATTTTTCATCTGCATCCTGAACTCAGTTGCTAATTTCACTTTGCTAAGGTTCTCGCTTAAACCTATGTGGTAGTTACATTTGATGGCTTCCAATATCAAACAAGGTCCTCGTGGTGCTGTTCTATGTTTATGTTAAGATCTATGATTGCTAGTTTCAAGAAATTACAATGATAGATGTTCTTGGGACATAATGTAAGAGGTCATTTCACAAAATATGCGACTTTATGGCATAGAGGAAACAGTTTGATAGATTTCACCTCTTACTAAATCTGACCAAACTATTACAATTGTTGACAGAATTACTGACAGTTGATTGTGTGCAATTTCAGGAGGAAGCAGCTGTGCGCTTGGTGGATTCATCCTCAGGGTCCTCTGAGTATCGACCCATTAATATCTTCATCAACTTCTATTCAGGTAATTGAGGGTAATTGTGAAGGTGAATTAGTACCTTAGACTTCAATTGCATGACTCTAGTTATGGACTGAGGATGACAAACTTTTGCTAGTGATTACTTGATAATAAAACAACCATAATTAAGAGGTCTTTTCTCGCAAAGTATTTCATTTCCAAATGTTCATTTTTAGTCATCTGATATAACAACGCCTATATGCTGTTGATTTCCCATCTTTTGTGTCTGAATCCTTAGTACCTCAAATTCTGTTCTTAGTTGAATACTACTGGTGATATTCTTTGAGCCTCTAAGATATACTGTATAAATTAAAATCACGTCTTTAGTATTGATGACATTTTCAACTAAATAGCTCCAAAATCATTTTGTACATATTAATCAATAATCTCAAGCTTTTGCATTTACATTTTTCTCTGCAGATCCTGAATACAGATTTAAGGTCCCAAGGACAAATTTCTTCCCACAACCTAAAGTAAGTGATCAGTATATATTTTCCTGTTTGAATTCCTATCCAAAACCAAGAAACGAAGGTACGTAATGCCTTGAAAATTTAAACATTAGCAGATTGCACATTTTCTAGACTCTTCTAGGCACGCTCGCTTGTCACCTTCAATAAATTGAACACACGCTGTCTGGACGGCTTCAAGATGTGATGCTCTTTCCAATATCAAATACTTTGAGCTGGGGTGGAATGAACTTTATTCTACTGTGTAGACGTGTTCCCTTCATCCGAAAAAAGAAAGAATTCTCTATGTATGCTTCCATTGATACATTCGTTCTCTTGGATGAATACTATTATATGAAAAATACAGTTCTTATATCACGTATAGGATATTCGCTGGCGGCATAGCTTTTCCATGTCCATATGATGGTGTCTAATAGGTAATTTTATGATTATTCCATTGGGTCACAAAGTGAAATTATTTGTTTCTTGTTCTTCTTCAGGTCGATGCAGCTGTAGTTTCCTTCAGACTGAAACAACCTGTAGATTATCCTCCTGTTTCTTCTGCCAAAAGCTTCTTCTCAATGGTTCTTACAGCTTACCCATATACTTTCCTTTTTGTTTTCCCACCGTGTTAGCGTGATATAGTGATTGCTACCAACTAAAATATCAGCATATGCAATCCGTGGTTAGGCTAATGCTTGGTTATACAACACATTTGGGAATTTTAGGGTAAAATATGGGGAATAGTTTATCTTTCTCATTATTCATAGCTGACATTCCTCATTGATGGTTAAGGTCAATTCTGCTTTTAATGGAAAACGTAAGATGTTGCGAAAGACACTACAGCATATATGCCCTTCCCTTGAGATTGAAGAAGCTCTTGTTAGTGCTGGTCTTCCACCCACGGTATGACTGATGTATTTTGTGATTTATCAGTCAATTGAACACCAGCAATTCTTCTATCTGAATCAGCTCTTCCGTTTGATGTTTTTCTTCTATTTTGTTTTTGTCCAGGCAAGGCCGGAGGAGCTAGCGCTAGAAGATTTTGTAAGGCTGCATAATTCAATTGCTAAAGCCTAAGACTTTCTGGTGTCACTTGGTGCTGAGCTTTGCTAAGGATACTCGAAAGTAGAGGGCTCACCTTTCTTATTACTCCCCTTGCTATCCTAAACTTGACTGGTACCAGAATTTGGAATAAGGAATTCACAAGCTTCTGCAAGCCTGGAGAATTATCACCAGCTGGGAACTCAAACAGCTACAGTTGACAGCAAAAAGGACAACTCCACAAAACTTGATTGAGCATCCCTTGCTACTCTGGCCCCATCAAAGCCTTGATCCATTCAACATAGCACAAGTGTTGGAAGAATTGTCAGGGCTTCAGAGCTGAATGTAAATATTTTATCACATATCTTCTCTTACACTCATTAGCATCAACCAAAGACGAATAATGTATTTGGGTTTATATATAACTTGATATTTTTTGCATGGGATCACAATCTATTTATGAACAGTGAGTGAGGATTCATACAATAGATCCAACTTGCTTGGTGTTGTTGTTGCTGCTGCTGTTGTATCAAATGCTTGGTACCGAGGCATTGTTTTTGTTGCTATTGTATCAAATGATATAAAAGCTCTTTATATTTAGCTCTATTTGGCATTACATCTAACACTTCTTTGTATCAATCTTGCAATGAAATCAAGAAGCAAAAATCAATTCATAATCCAACTGGCGGAAAATGGTACAGATTATTTCAATCGAAATCATGAAAATACATTCAGAATAAACAATAATTTATCCACTCTAAGAAGTAACTATAGTCTCAAAATATTCAAATTCTCTACACAGTTTATTCAAGAATGAAACTGATAAATAAGGTCCAGGGACCTCAACCTAGTCCCATGAGGATCAAATTCCAGAGCAGGGGGGCCGCCGTCATTGTCGTAGCTCCGCCGCTGCTGCTCAGCTGCAACCGCCGCAGCTGAAACCGGCGAGAGGGGTCTTTTGGGTCTCTTATTCTGAATGAAACAACCCCTCATCCTCTCCTCAACTCTATCAACAGAATTCTGCTCTGTTTCATTTACATCATCAACCTCCTCATCCCCCACTTGCATAGGTTCATCAGTATCATTCTCATCGCCACTGCCTACGGCGGAGGAGACAGAGTTTTCAGGCACCGGAGGTGGTGGTGGTATAGGGAGGAGATGGGGTTGTCGAGGGGGTGGGTGGTGGTGGTGGTGATAGGATAGGAAGAGGGAAAGGTGGTGGTGAGCAGAGTGAAGGGAAGAGTAGATTTGGAGGAGTTGGGAAGAATCAGAGGTGGTGGTAAGTTGTTTAGCCATTAGGGTTGCTTGGTCCAGTGCTTGTATTAGCTCTGCAATGGAAGCTCCTGTCTCTGACGCCATCTCCATCTCCATCTCCATTCTCAATCCTAAGTCTTGTGTTTTAGATTCACTGTTAACACAAATGCTGTTGGGCGTCTCTTTATTTCTGCGGTTTAGGGGGTATGAATTCCTGTTCCTTCTCTACTTGTGTTCAGTTGATGGATACATCTTATGTATATGGCTCCTTTTTAATTTCTCTCCTACTTTCTCCTGTCTTTAATATTTGACAATTTAGACAAAAAAGAATTTGCTTTAAAAAATTATAGTCGGTAAATTAATTACTCATTAAGACAAGGGTGATTTTAGTCATTTATGATTAATGCTGTCAAATAATCTTACTAATAATAGGTGTATCAAAATTTTAAACTGACAGATAAACAGAAAAGTAACTAATTTTATAACAGTGTCAAAATGTTTATCCTCGAGAGTAATTTGACCTATCCAATAGGCTAACCCTCCACCTTTTCAAGTTATAAACTCCTGTTCAGTGTAGATGTTTGTGTAGTTAGTTTTTACATTACATTGCATAAACTATACATTCGTAGATAAAACATAAACTTCATAGGACGTAAGGGCTAAACCTTTTTGTTTTCAAGTTTTTGAGAATAGTCACCCTTTGACGGAAGAGAATCAGGATACATCAAGAAATAGGAAAAAACAGAAAAAGAAAGAATTGATGTCTTGTTTACCCTATTAATATTATACAAACCAGATAACTATATCTTGGGTGAAATAGAGTTCGCCTTCAACAACTTCCAGTTTATGACTCTCTTTCTCAGTTTTTAAAATATATACTCACTCGAAGTAGATGAAAAATGTTAGCTCCTGCCTAAAGGAACTTATACTCTCTTTACGAACTGACATTTCTAGGAGCTTCAAACTGATTATACAACAACCTATTTTGGAATACCTCATTTATAAGAAGGAAGGGGTATATTCAAAATGGTCGTAGCTAGAGAAAGACAAAGCTTTACATGTACAAGAAAATGAAGAGAATGAAAAAACTAGTATCTACACATTGAGCATCCGTAGATAGTCATCAATAATGGACAGTGAAGAAGAGCGGTAACCAGAACCAAACAAGTTATAGTGATTTAGGTAATGATACAGCATGTACAAATCTCTCCTTTGTTCAAAACCGGGTTGTTCAGGCATCACCTGAACAAAAGATACAGAGAAACAAATGAGAGTAAATACCAAGAACATGAAGCAAATGTCACACAAACACCACCATTAAGTTGCAAGTTGACAACCTGGTTCAAATGCCAATACGGTGGATCACACAATCCAAAGTAATGCTAAAACTAACTCGTTATTTGAGATCACCGATTATCTACTGAAAAACAGCAAATAAACAAAACATGTCTTTTTCTCCTCTTCAGTATGTCCTCGTGGATATTAAATGCTGATGAAATGCGTATCATTAATTACAGCACCTGAAAATAAGCCTTGTAAAAATCTCCTCCAAATCCGGCGCACCATGACATTCCAAATTCTGCTTCACTATGTCCATCTAAAGAAGACAGAATTCATAATGTTAGTGCATCTGGAGCCATTAATTCATTCGCCTAAAACCAAACACCTGACTGCCAGGATACAAATATTGCACTGAGATCTTTCTAACTTATGTATATTTCCTTATCCATCTATATTGCAATGTGTGGATGACATTGGTGCAAAGAATAATGAGGCAGAAAGGGGTTTAAGTCCTATTACTAGGCATTAACACGCATCACATAAACCAGGCTGTATATCTAGAAGCAAATCGAACTCACTACCCATCTAGAGAAGAGGCTAACGGAGAATAAAGCAACCAATTTACATGAAGTTTGCTACAATCCAAGAGGCAATAATCATTTTTTAAGTGTCAACCTTTCAGTATACACTAAACCTAACTGAATGTTTACAAGTATAGGGGTGAAGTAACCAATCTGAAGTAAGATGATAACATATGGAAATTTTTCATCTTTATGAACTCACCTCACAAAATTCTTGTTCATATTAAGTTTTCAAAAAAGTTAAACTGGACTTTGGTCGGCATTTTCAGACAAATTTAAGCAATTTGAGGAATTTAAAAAAATAAACAGTATTTTTCGTGTAGCTTATCATCTTCGCCATTTCACCATAGAAGTTTCTGAAATCCTCTTTAAATAGCCTTGACCAATGCCCAGTTTGAACTTTGAAAGTCAATTTGGACAATTGGGATGGTTGGAGAATCTCATATTGGCTTCCTCTGAGAAATTTATTTATATAAAAAAAAGCAAATACTTTACCTTCATAGTAGCATCCTACATTTCAATGTTTGCTTGTCTAATTGTCATTACATTCATTGCAGAAATATTGCAAAATTTATCAGGATCCAGGACATTTACATTAGCTGTCTGATCTTCCATCTCTTACTGTATCAATCTTTATTACTATTACCTGTTAGGTTGGAGGCTCTAGGCTCTGATAAATAAGGTTGTGAAAGTATAATGAGCTATAAGGAGTTCACATCACAATATAAACTGCACCAACCACTCTTGCCTCAGATATTACATAATATAATGTTCTAGAAGAGATATGTTTCATATGCGAAGCAGTGAATGATAAAAGCAAAAACGACCATTTGATTGATAATATTGAAACTGTGAACCCAGGACTTACAATAACATGCAGGGTCAAGAATCACAGGTTCACCATTCTTGTCATATGTGATATTCCCACTCCACAGGTCTCCGTGCAACAAGCATGGCTCTATCACAACATTCTTGAATAAAGGTCCCAGGTTCTTTGCTAGCCTTTGTCCTAAGAATAGATTTATTAAAACAAAATAGATAAAACACGTCAGATATTGAATGACCATATGAACCTCCTTGTGCTCTTTACAAGTATTTACTTAATTACAGATTAAATCGCGGTTGTAAAACTGCCAAGCCTCAAAGTCCAGAGAAGGAAGATTATCACCAAAATGTTGGACTTTGATACATTCAATAATATTCAAGTACTTTGAAGTTTGATATTTGTCCATCATTCCATGTTCCCCGATGTTGTCTCATCGCCGAATGAAACAACTTAAACTTTAAACTTGTCTATCAGGACTTCTTAGAATGAGTACGTGAAGAGAGATGTGATTATAAATCTTTCAAAGCCAGATTAAAAGATAAGCAGGAGCATCAGTTTATGTGTTGGAAAAGAAGGCAGCAAGCTAATTTGGCCATTAGAATGAATCTAAGGAGCAAGAATCCATTCTGTCACTACTGTAAGTGATCCAAATTGCAGTTCTCCATAAAATAAATGAAGCCTGAAGTAGTTTTAAATTCAGAATGAAGTAAGGAGGAGGTACACATTCCATTGCATATTACCGGGATCAAAAAAGACAAATTCCATAAATGAAGTCAATATTTTCTTTCCCAATAAAATGAAGATTTAGACCTCTCTCATAAATGGTTGAATCCCCATACTGTTCTCGAGCCAACTTCAGCTGGTATCCCAATCTGTGCTCCGCGTAAAATTCGATCCAATCTGAGGTCCAAGTGTTTATCTGCGGAGT